GAAATAAGCAAATTTCAATTACATTCTCTCACAGTAAAGCTTAATAAAAATTGTCTCACGGTATCTGTGCTTTCTTTCTCGCGTATCTGTGTTCATCGTTTTCTCCGTACCTCTTTTATCCTGTGTATAATCTATCGACGAGCTTATATGAGAAAAGGACGCTGTGTCGGGTGGATCCGCGTGTATCGCGATAGAAATAAACTCGCGCGGTAAGCTGGCGAGCCTCTGCCCCGGATGCGGGACTTTATTGCCCACGTTGCTCGCCCCCAGAATCAATTCCAGCACCAGATAACTCCGTCGCGCAATAAATAATCCCGCGCTCATGGGTATACATTCAAATGCGTCGTCAAGATCATCCCGATTTAAAATTCGATCGTCCCGGCGCAGCCGGCAGCCCCCGCGAGGTCCTGCCCGACATCCGCGAACTAAATTTATCGACAAGCGCGAGCGGTGGCACGCCGACATCGATGGGAGCAGCAGCAACCTTCTCGTGTAATCCCGAACGGAGAGAGAGCCGCGGTGCGGGCGAAATAAAAGACGACGCGACCTCGCGACGAGGACAGAAAAAATGAGCGAATGAAAGTCACGAAGATGCCAAGCGAGAAATAGAAGAGAGAGAGAGAGAGAGAGAGAGGAATAATAGCGTTTGTATTTTCATATTTGTAATATTGTGTACGTATATCTACCTCAACTTCGTTAACATTGATTATTTAATGAAATCAATGCATAGGAACGTAATTTTGCTTGATAAATACAAAATTAACAAGCGGCCCACTTGATGTGCGCCAGTGAAAATGCGGCACTAAAGGGCAATACGCGTAGAAAAATCGAAAAAGTGAATATGAGCATAAGAAGAAATGATCGGTGAGAGAAGAAGAGGGAGGCAGCGAAAGTAACGTGCATTCGTATCTCGCATTCGCGAAGGAGAGAAATCAGAAGAGGAAGACGAGGGGACACTCCCACACCTCGCGTCGCGATAAGCCGCGTCACGGTGATGGTGTCGTCGCTGGTGGTAGTGGAACGCACACGAAGCCCGCCGTGTCTGAATAACGAGCGGTCCCTGCGACGATCCACGCGCGCACACCGAGACGATCCCACGCGCGTCGACGTGCGTCCCACGTTCGATCTCGCCAACGACCCACTCTCTCACCCCCGTCGCCGGTCGAGCACGCTTCCGAGAGCTTTCCGCGCGGCGACAGGCAAAAGTAATTAGTGGTTTGCATCTTCACTCTTTTCCCGTTTCCCCGCTACAATATACCTATTGTTTCGCGGTAGCGCACCTATGAGAGGTACACGCGAAGTGCGGGGAAACTAGAATCGTTGCGCGTTCTCGGTTACGTGTAGCGGTAAGTAATTACAAGTTGTGCTTGTACGTTGAATTTTGTTCGTCTCGTTTCTCCCGTCTGTCTACCTGTCTATCTGTCCGCGCTCGAAGAGGCCGACGCGCGCGGTTGCGGCGGCCGATGAATGTCGAGAGGAGCTCTTCTGAAATAGCTCGACCCAGACTGGGCGTCGTCGACTGTCTCGAACGAAATGAGCCGCGGAGCAGCTCCGTGCCGTACACAACGATCGTCTTACTTCCGAGAGGCCCGCGGTCTAAGGGTTAACTTGGCAAATTCCGTCAAATTCGAAAGACTACCGACAAATCTCGAGGTATAATATTACATAAATCTTCGATGAGATACAAACAGTTACTTGTTATACCGTCCTCTCCATGTTGTACATGTGTATGAAGAAAGAGATATCTCCTGGGAATTAGTAAAAAAAGAACAAATTCTCCTATTAGACATGGGCTGCGTTCCAAAATTGATGAAAACAAGTTTCGCAACCTTCTTGTAACTAGCCATACGCGGCGATCATCTTGCTTCTAAGTATCTCGTAACCTAAAGGTTAATATCAAGATTATAGCAAGAGAGATATTATTTATTTATTGAATTATGCTCCGATAGTAATTATTCCCTGACATATTACACTCTCTTAAGTGCCTCGAACAAGGTTCGGCCGGTGACGCCTCCGAATAACGTAGCACCGGTCTCAATTACACCGAGGCTGAAACCGGACAAACCGCTCTCTCGTGACGCGAAACTATTAGTCCCGGCATTTAATAAATAGTAGGCGATAACGAGCCGTGAGACTCTTTCTTTCGGTACTTATCGCCGCGGCGTCTTACCTTAACGATTTGCCGTGCGACTGCCAAATATAGAGGCGCCAACGACTATCTCGGCAGGTCTTGAGCTTCTTTTGGTTGCAGACACGAGATTACGGTGACTCGTTAGCGGACAGATCAATACTCCATACGGTATTCCACACTTGTAAAGATCTTTAGATGTCAATTACTTCATGCGTCCGCGGAAAAATTGTCGGAAGGGAACGAGGAATTATGCGTTCTCACGGCGAGATCGGCGTGTTGTTTCATCAATCGAAATCTTTCGGCCTGTTTTTGATCTCGTCTTTTTCTGGTTTACCGAAATCGCGCGAGAATTAGGCGCCTATAAGGCAAACTAGGGCCCGGTGGCGCAACGATTCGCTTCAAGGTAAATGCGCCAGCCAATTAAGACATCAAGTGCCTTAAGTGAAGCGAACGCTGTAGCGAGCAACCGCACGCGAACGGTTTGCAAGAGAGAGAGAGAGAGAGGAAAAGAGAAAGAGTGAAAGAAAGCGAGACGATTAGGTCGACAAGCGAACAACGAAGAGAACGCCGCCGAACGAGATGCGTTACGAAATTTATGAGAAAAGAAGGGTTGCGACCTTTACGTGACTGGCTGTACAGATAGAATTAATGTAAATGTAAGTGCGATATGAGTACGAATGCAATGAATGTGCGTTATTCTGTTTTATTGTATCTAACGAAAAATCTAACCAAGGCATAACGAAAATATTCACCGTGTGAGTTACGCCTAAAAGTGTTCGATGCTATGCGCGTACAGAGTCTTTAGGCAACCTCATTTATTAACATCGTAATGCGCGGAAGCGCTGCATTTAACGACTAGCTTTACGCCGCACACAGAGCGACCATTTTGCTTCGGAGCAGCCCGCAGTCTAGGGGTTAAAAAGTACCGGAACCCCGCTGCTGGTTTACTCTTTTCTAAAAGCACCTCGGCCTGCATCGAGCACGGCGCAGGTGTTTCGAGAAACCACCGTTGGACGCCCATAGTTGGATATTGCGAATTAAATATTAGAACGTTGCTTGATGAACGATCCCGAGTTTTTCGACACGCACCGCCGCTTCTCCAGCAACACTTCGACGCGTTTCCGGAAACTGAGAAAAAGCAACGAACTCAGCGAGACTTTGCTTGGATGAACAAAATTCGTTCGAGCAAACGATCAGTCAATCGAATTATACATTTGCCGCGACAGGTTGTCGATTGATTCGATGATTGCGATTTGGTCAGCTTTCAGGTAACAGAAACTTTTAAAAGACGTCTTAAAGATATTTTAAAGACATGTTTAAAAGACATCTTACTGTTTCATATATCTTTTAATTGTCTCTTGAGCGTTCTTAACACATTGCCAACCGCGCGAGTTGCGTCTTACGAGGCTTTGAAAAGCCTACATTTCGTAAACAGTACGCAGTAACACATCTTGACCGGAATTTTTACAATTCTTGCAACATAGGAAATAAAATCAATAAAATCGAAAAGTATTCCTGCGGCATAAGAATCGCATACAATGAAATTTAAAAGTAGTAAAAATAATAAACAATAAGAAGCAAGAATCATCGAAAGAAGGAACCGATCTACTCGATCGGTTGGCGATACGTTTAAACGTCTTTTGACGTCGCTTTCCGTTTCATCATCGCAAAATGTTGCCACGTCAACGCGTAATTGGTTCGGTGGACACGATATTTCGTTGACTTCCGATCTTGTCGAATCAACCGCTTTTTTTTCTCAACGGACATTCGCCCCTGTCATTCAGCACTCGAGAGCTCTCAATTATTTCTGTCGTTTTCAAACGTTTCGATGATTTTCAATGACAGACAGATCGCTGCGGAGGACACATCACCGGCGAAAGAATAATACGGAAATGTCAGGTGAGAAAAATTCTGTCGTGACGAAAATGATCTCTCTTTTCTTTAAGTCCGCGCGAAAGGAGCGACCTGTTTTCCCGTTCGTCCGGTTCTTCCAATTGACAGGACCACATGGTGGCCTGCGAAGATGATAAAACATACTTCGCGTCGATGCGGCTGCGTGGAGCGAAACGACTTCGCGTCGGATTAATCTCGATTTGAATGCGATTTTGGTCAGGGCGAGTTCGCGAGCCCCGGCGTAAAAAGCATGCCGCCACGATTCAAAAAGAGTCCGTTTGTTACGACGAACAAATGAAGGCGGATCCGGTCGGTCGGTCGAACGATCGGACGGTGTGCGCGAACAAGACACATTCCCGCCCAGATGTCAGCATCTAAAAGTATGACCAATTACGTGCTACATATATGGAATATCAGCATTGAAAGTTCGCTCGCCCTTTTTGCGGCCGATTCGTGACGTGACGGAGTTTACACGCTAACCCTAGCGCTATTATTCCAGACGACCGTAAATTCATCGCTCCCGCAACCACGAGATAACCCGCGTCAGGTATGAAACGAGGACGAAAGGCGCGTTCGTCGCGGCCTTACGTTGGATTCTAATTAGTTTCAGAAAAAGAGGATAGATGGCAAAGGGCAAACGGGAACCGAAATTCTTGTGTAAAATAAAAATCATCTTATTTATTTATTAATTCAAGTTTATTTGGAAAAAAATCTATTTAGAAAAAGAGATGAAAAATAATCTAAATAATCAATTATAAAATCATGCCATATAACGTTATGGAAGATCTTAACATTGCAAACAAAAGAAAGGGCATCATGTTGTCTTGTCAACGAAATAACCCTGACATTGCTGACTGCTTAAGATTGTTAACTGAGGGGAAAAACCATTATATGTAATAGTCATAAATAAAACATTTCACAAATAATGTGTAATAATCAATATATTTACAATATTTAAACAAAACGTACATTTTGATTTTATGACAGGGTTCTTTTTAACGATCGATACAATTAAAATAATAACAAAGTCAAATTAGTCTCAAAGTCAAGTAGCATTGGAGAAAAGAGAAAATTGATCATAAATATATAACAAGTCTAATATTTCAAGCTTCTGCGATATGGAGAAATATTGAATTCGACTTCCGAGTTAACGTCGCGTCCTTCGCGGATTCGTTTCCGATATTCCGTGAATATTCCAATCCACCTCTTCAGGAAGAGGTACTATCTAAAAGCATACAAGCCATATGTACATACGAGTCATGTCAAATTGAAATAAAACAAAGTCGACGCAAACAGAATGCAAACACAAGAAGCAAACCTTGCTGCCGAATCGAAATGGTCTATCGTTCTTTCTCGACGAATGGATTCCCGAGGTCACATTCTGATGTATATCACAGTCGGACGATAATCGGGCGATACGGCATACGCGAAGTTAATCCCGAGGAAAAAAAGAGCACGAGGAGAATATTGCACAATCAGGTGGAAGAGAGCCGGCGCAGCTGCCGGGCGCGCGATTTATCCGCGTGATCGCATTACGCGGCCTCAAAAGGTATAAACTCATTGAGCGCAACGTCGCGATCCAATCTACGGCGGACGGCTCGATTGCGATAGAGGCTCGTTTATCGGCGGGCCGAATGAAGCGCGCGCAGCCCGGGCTATGTGACGATCGGGGTGCGCTCGTGTAAATAAATGATTTCGTATTAACAGTCGGCATTTGAATGCGGGCCCGCGCCCGTATATCAACTGTATTTGTTAGCGGGCGCGCCTCCGTTAGCCTCCGCGCTCCGACGTTGAAAAATGCACACTGCGCCCAATCGTCCGGCGATATTTCAATATTAGTTTAGCCATTGTGTGCGCGCGCGGGCCCGCTCGGCGAAGTGGGCGCCGGACGAGCCAGCGTGAGCCTCTTTATTCGCTCGAGGATAATATTTGCGCGTGATTGGCTCGCTCCGATGCGGTATTTTCGCGGGTACCGCGAGAATGCTCCCTCGATCGAGCGGCCGCGACTGCGCCAATGAAAATATTTGCCGTCCGATGAAACTCGCCGTGATATACACGGGGGATATTTATGCGCGGCGCGTACCGCCGGAGAGCCGCGAGAAAAGTCATTTCGCGAACGCGGAGACGCGGACGACGACATCGTCGTAGCGAACGACTTCGTGCGCGGGCGGCCTCTTGAATTCGCTACGGTGAAAGTGTATCGCTCGCTCGAAATCGCGAAATTTCGAAAAGCGGCGCGACTTTTCGGATAATATTAGTCCCGGAAACCGGTATTCGGTTGTCTATCGAAAGACAACTTCCTTGAAATAGTGGAGAAGCGTGCGGTTATCCCGAAAAGTTGTAATATCGAGATCAACGCGAGATAATGTAGCCGAAAATACAGTTTCTCCGAAAAATACTTATTAATATCTATTAAGCGCACATAACGTACTGATTAACTTAAGTTCGCCAGAAAGTATGCGATGCAATTTAATATGAAAAAGTATATATCTTTTAAGAGATCTAACGGGAATATTAAATACAAATGCTTCCAATAACTCAGGGCGATCAACCAGATCTCTTAGAATAATAATAATTAATAATAATAATAAATAATTTTTATCGCGCTGATCCCAGTATTGTAACTTTACATAAGATAATTTTTATCGTGCCGTTCGCACGCCTCCAATATTTCAGGAAAGTTGCATTTTGGAAAATTGTTTCGGTATCCTAAGAAATTTCGAGATTATACGTTTTCGGGGAATTATCTTATTCTTCGACACGCATTTTCCCTCGAGAGAATGCAAGTCCATCGTAAAAGTTATTTCTCCAACGAATATCCTCAGCGATATCTGAATATAGTTTACACACATCGGGATCGACGAGATCTCTCTTTTATCATTTTTCCCCTGGTTCAATACCACTATCCCGATTGCTCGCTTTATTGATCGAGCCAGGGGTGAGGAGGGGAAGAGGTGAACGATCGACAGGTAGGTTCGAGCACCGCTGCAACGCTCTGTACGAGTGATATCGCTTCGCGAAATCGACAATAAATCATGCGAGCGGTTAGCCGATGTTCTTTGTGTCATTGGCCGCGTTCGCTCTCCCGTTCAAGGCTCGACGCGCGCGCGAATATTCCTCGCACAGATGTGCCCACGCGACCGTCGCGAATCAGAATTGAAAATGTGTTTTCCCCGGTATATTGATTCAGCTGAATCGACACTCGACGCATCGTCACCGCGCCGGACGAAAATGATTTCCAACGGATGATTTGCGGTCACGCGAGCGCACGCGAACCAGACGCGTCGATCGACCGTAATTTTCTCCCTCTCTCTCTCGTTTCTCCGCATCGCTTCGGAGATCGCCTATCCTCGGAGCAACGTTAATTTCTAGACAACGTTGGCGGAATCGTATGTGTACTTTTTCGCAATCGTATCGCGAGCACAGATCTCTTAGCGGACCTTTCAGAATTAAATTTTCTCGCATTGACTGAAGAAAGCGTTCTCTGTCTTGCGAGCGAATTACCCCGCGTCACGCGAATAGGAATTTCTTCCTGTATTAAATAAAGTAACGAGAAGAAAGAAAAAGAAAGAAGGAGAAAAGCGAGAGATACCTCTTCGAAACAGATCCGCGGCGCGCTCTTAATTACGCGCCCTGTGGTGCAGAGACATACAGCCGCTCCTCTCGCCTCTCTCTTTCCGTCCGCTCCCTCGTCCTAACTTACGATAAAGTCCGACCTTATCGATATCGGACCACCCGCCTGCGCGCCCGGTGAGTAGCTCTAATATAAATAATATTTCTACCGATTCCCCCCCCACCGCTCGCGCTCGCGGGAGGCTCACCGAGCGGACGCCAAATGCGGCCTTAATTGGCACGTTTACCTTACGTTTCCATTTAAATGCTCGACGAGGTCGCGCCGCGCGAGCGGTCGTTCGCGACGACCTTAAGCCGGGATATCCCACTCCCGATCTCCCACCGCTGCCGCCTCGTCGCGTCCGGACGAAGAGGGCGACGCGACGCGCGTCGGCCACGAGGAGCCACGAGCCGTCGCGTGGGACTAAGCGGCTCTCGACTCTCCTCTCTCCTTCCCGCTCGGCGCTCTCACGAGTCGCTCCCAAGAGGACTGGCTCTTTCCTCCACCTCCGCATCCTCCTCTGCCGCCGCCACCTCCACCGCTACGTTCTCTCCGGCAGCACACCACGCTCCCTCCTCTTCCTTTCCGACGGTTCTCTCTCTCTTTCGCTCAGCAGAGAGAGCCCGACGTCCGCTCGCATACTCGAGAGACCGAGCGTTCTCACGCACGGGGCACGCACACGAGGGCACGAGTCGACCGCGTGTGCCCACGACGAGCCACCGGCGGGAGTGTTGGCGGAGACGAGCTCCTCCGTCGTTATCGTAGAAGAGCGCGGAAGCGCATGTTTTTGCGACTGTGTCGGATTGTTTCTTCCTTTCCTTTTTTCTTCCTCACCTAGCCGCGTTTTTGCACAAGACCAGTTCGACGATGAGCATCAAGTTCCGCCGATAAGAAGACCGAACGTTATAATTTACGCGTTCCTGCGCGTTGGCTCGTAACGCTGGGAAACTTTCGGGATAATAAGTTACTTACCGGTAGACGGGCTGGTTCTCCCGGCGCAAAGTCGGAAGAGGGAAAGGATGGAGAAGCAGAAATACCTCTGCCGCATTCCCGCTCGAAACTCGCGGATGTCGGACGCGCGATGCGCTCGTTATTATGATTATTGGGAATGACGTGACCCGAGAAACGAGATTTTTGTCATCACTCACCCGCGTTGGACGGCCGCCAAGTCGCACGTTCGCGGGCACGCTTACGACCGTCACGAGGAAAAGCGGGCGGCTGCCACCGCTGCCAAACATCGCGTGCGGCGGCGGCTTGCACTTACGCGCCTGCGTGGGCGCCTTTTGGCGCCAATAATAACCGGGGATCGTCACTCTCTTCGGGATGAAAGCCGCTTTCGGGCCGCCGTGATGGGCAGGCTGATGCGTTACCTTCCCAAATCTTCCTCCCTATGACGAATTCGTATAAATAGTTCTGCAATAAGCCGGCCGCCGCCACCTCGAGACGCGGTCCACCTCACATCGTGCGATCTCGCGTCTTGTAAAATCGCGTAAGATGTAATGCACGAGTATACTTATATGGTGATATTAAATAATAAGAGCGATGTAATTACATATAATAATCAAAATTAAGTGAAAAGTTCTTGAGTAGAAACAAATAGTCAATATTTGTTCGTAAGGAGCCAATGCGCATCCTAACGATCAATGATAATAGAGAAAAAGATTTTTTTCCGATTTAGTAAAATTTCTTTAATTGGGCGTTTGATATTAAATTATGTTGTTTGAATTAAACAAGTCTACGTCAAACAAACGGACGTATTAAATCCAAAAAGATCTTTACTCCGTATATGTATTTAATAATTATATATATAATAAAATACAAATATAAAAAAAAGATACAACAATAAATCTCTGCGAATAATAATATAATAATAAATACAAAAAGTGTGAAATTATAATGAAGAAAGGTGATATATTAAGATACCATCGAGTGAAAATTATAAAATCAAGGAATACAAGAAAATTGGTGCGATCAAAAAAATACAGGCCAAAAATAACGACTCGCAACCGCGCGATAACGATCGTCGGATTTCGCCCCCTCACTTAGACTCGTTTAAACTTAATAGAGTCCTCTTCTGAAGAAAAAAACACGGTGGCGGGGAAGAGCGGGGACTCTAAGCAGCGTCTCCCACGAGACGCTGGCAAACGAGCGAGTTCGTAGGCCACGACGATCAATGAGGAAAGGTTTGTCAACGCGCATCGTCATTCCGCCGCTCATTGGCAAAGCGAGGAGGACCGGTGACGACGTAATAACGGACGTCTCTCCGCCGCAGCGAGTACCCACGCGTACTTGACCGCTACTGGCCCAGAGCCCACCGCAGTCGTCCGTAATAATAAGGCCCGGAATAAGTTATTATGCACCCTCATACTGACGCCGACTCCGCGCCACGGCTGCGTCTCACTGACTGCACCATGTGTGTACGTATGTGTGTGCATGCGCGTGTGTGTGTGTATAATACGAACGCGTGTGCGTTCTTCAGGTATGAGAAACGTGGCATAACGTGCACACGGAAGAGGATTTCTTTGGATTTAACAGAATCTAATTAAAATGTGTCCTTTGGTATGGAACGAACAAACGAATATTTTGATCGAACAAACAGAATTGTTCTCGTTTCTCAAGCAATAAATATCTTCACGTCAAATAATATCTTTCTTTTACATCTCCATCCAAACATTGATTGTCACCAGCAATCAATTATCCGAAAGAAGTACTCGACATTACGTTAGAGAAATATTAAAGAATCACTTTTTCCTTCAGTGGAACGATATATAAGGAAATTGAACTTTCTTTCACCGGAAACCAAATATTCTTCCCCGTAAATCATACTTTCTCCCCCTACCAAATAACATGCTTTATTCTAACGGAACAACAGTACTTTTATTCGAACAAAATGATATTTGACGTTAAATTATGTAGTTTATATTAAACAAACCCAAGTGAAACAAACACGTGTATCCGAAGGCACCTTTTTCTCAGCGCGCGCAGTGTTCGCGAGGACGCGTCGTCGTGCCGAATGACACGACGAACGCGCACGTCGGTAATAACGCGCGAAATAATTAATAGCTTCCAATCGTTAAGTATCGGTCGAACGTGGTATTTGCATACAATTTACCTCACGCGCGGCCGCATAATACGCAGGGACTCGCGGCGGACTGATGAATTCCGGCTCGTCATCATTGTCGTCGCGCCGGCCCGGGACTCGCACCGTGACGTTGTTGCTCGCGATGCTCACGGGTGCGCAGCCCCCGTCGTGCACGGAAAGAGGCGTGCACTAATTACGACTGGTGACTGAGGATTTGAATTGTGCGGCCGGCCGGGGCGGAAAAGGATCGCGGCCGGAGAGCGAGGAAAGGGTATAATTTCGTAAGAGCCGCACGACGAATTCCGCCTTGACCGCTCGCGCTTATGAATTCCACGGAGGCTTTCGTTGCTACGCTAATTGACCCGTTCTTCTCGTCCGGCCCGCTCCCGCGCACCCGGTCGTTACCGCTTCGAGGAACATCTCCGGACAAATTAAAAGCTGCCTCGCTCACTCGGCCGCGCGCGCTGCCCCCGCGCGCCCGGCTCTGCATCTTAAACGGAGCCGGCTCGAAATAATCCCGATAAAAATCGCCGAAAATCTTGCGGGACCCATCGCTCGCCGGTCGGTCGTGCTTCCATTGTTCACGCCGCGCGGTGGGCTAATAAAAATTCGCGATAGCGCTTCGCCGTGGCGAAACGCCAATCAACGGAGACGTATAATCAGCCGACGGCAAATAAAGCGGCCGCTAGTATAGGAAGAGAGCGTCTGAAATGTTAAATTGGCCTAGATTGAGAGCCTGGCCGCTGCACTTTCGTTGCGCGAGCGAACGAACGGTTACCTACTGTGCGCGCAACCCGGTGATTATCCTCGGCGAGGGCTCCAGCCACCGAAAAATTGGCATTGAAATGCCGCGAGACAGTTTTACGGCTGCTGATTGGTTGCCCCATGTAATCGCCGCGAAATATTTAGAACGACCGGCCGTTCGCAACGAAAAAAACCCGCTCGGCCATCTGGCGCAGGGGGGATCCGCGCAATAACGTGCGGAAATAAACTTTCGGGAATCACGCGAGTCCGTTCTTCTTTGCGGCTGTCTTCTACGTCTTCACCTTTCCTTCTCAGTACCTCGACTTGAGTTCTTCAAGTCGCACTGTTTGATATTCAACGGTGATTCTGAAATTTCTCTGATGAACTTTCATGATCACGACGCGAGACAATCGATGGGAACTTTACAAGTTTCTTTCATCGTATTTATGAAGCGAATATACTGAATCGATCATTAAATCATGCACGGAAGAAACGATTTCGTTAGTGTAATTGAATTTTCCGTTGCCTGGAAAAAATTCTGTTGTAACAACAGAAAAATTTCTAAGAGGTTTCTGCTCAGTCGATTGCATTTAGTTGCCCCAAACGAGTTCTTTCGTGCAGCTAAATGTTCTCAGTCACATGTGTTCTCAGTATGTACGTTCTCGATAACAGAAATATTATTTCTTATCGCCGAGTTCCCATTCGGTCTCTATTCAATCTTAGGAACCAAGTTCTTTTTCCACGTACACAAAAATGTACATTTTTTTTCTGCTCGTGTATTAGTGAAGGTTTCTTTTTACCAAAAGTTATACTCTGATATTTATATATACATTTCACATGACATTGTTTCGGATAAATTTGAATAATCGTTTCTTGTGTATCTACTTCGTCATTCTCCATAATACACATGAGCGTCTTATGAACCACTCTCCTAAGTTGCCGCCAAATTTACGTTCACCTGTCTATCTGAGTTGCTCTCTCAGTTTCTCAAAATGCACTTGAAACGAGTGAAAATTCACTCCAGGCGACAGTGAGGAGGCTCGGAGTCGCAAGAGTGAATGTCTCGATCGATTGGAATAAACCCGCTCCAGTGACGATTAGATTCACCCTTCAATTTCGAGTCGAAACTCGCCGAGAATTCACTCTGCTCTGAATTCACGGGCGGAAAGTCTCTCGAATTCGGCCGACTAGGCCGTCACACGTTCTGCCGCTCGAGGGGAATTCCACTCGACGAGATCCAGAAAGCGAATTGAATCTTCACGTCGTTCCTCTTCCCGCCACTGTTCCTCCGACAATTACACCCTGCGCTCGCGAGAACACAACGGAGGAATCCGCCGGGCCGTGATGCATCTCTTCATGAATATCTTGAGCGTACAGGTGCGTTTGAGTGTCCACGAGACGCGCGCACGCCGGCGAACGTAAGTCAAGCGCGAGGCGCGAGAGAGGCGCGGCGCAGGAAAATCAACTCTCCGGTGTTTGATATTAATCCCGCGGCCGGGCTGCGAGCTACGGACCGCGCCGGTAAAAAGTTAATTAAAACGTGGTTATCTGCCGTCGTTCCATCTGTTTGTTCATTAATAGTAGTCCGCCGTGTCCAATCCATTGATTGGACGCACTATGCCAGCCACCCGATGGCGATCCGCGCCGATGGAATAAGAGTCAATCGGCTCCATCGAGAAGTAATTAAGTGGGCACAAGGTAGGGCTCTCTCTCTCTCTCTCCGCACGAGAAGAGAGGTAGCCGACGAGATAGGANTATTTATACGTGACAATCTGACACGTACGCTGAGCGGCCGATACATACAGGACACTTACATCGCGCGCGACTCGTGCGCGATCATCGTCGCCGCGCGGCAGATCGTTGTCAAAATCGCAGCGATAAATCCGTCGGTGTCCGGCCGAGTCGATTACGGCCGGGCCCTCGCGCGATCCGATGATTAGGCCGGGAGGTAGCGGGGTGAGGAGCTCTCGGCGGCGTGATAACCAATATCGATGACGGCTTGATTGCTCTCGTTCATTCGGCCGCGACGCCGGAGACGGGAATTCACGCGCTGCTTATATTCGGCGCTATCGTGTTTGTTATATCGACAAATAAAGCACGGAGCTCCCGACCGTGGAAGAACCGTCTTTATCTATCTATCTCTCTCTCTCTCGCAACGGAAGAGAGATCTCATTATTCGGCGGGCGAGGTGGCTTTCATTGATATTCTATTCGTTGATGAACCGGGACTCA